TTGGGCAAGCGGATGTCCACTGTATAATCCGGATTTCCAGGAATATTGAGCCATTCAACAGTGCATTTGTTTATCTCAGCAGAGCAAACAACAATAAAATTATCAACCGCGGACCGTTTTATTAATATCACACGTCAAGCAGGCACAAGCAACTGCAATAACAACTTAGTCATACAAAAAGAGAGTTCTGTATGGGCTTTTGTGTCATTCTCCGGCCGGTAAACCGATAAGCACGTACAACTTAAACAATCCGATTATATATAGAATTACTGTCATTAAACGTAGTGTCGTTGATCCGTTAATAAGTGGTCATTTCTTTGGTACGTTTTTTGGTCTTTGAGCCCCACGTCATCAGTTTGTACTGCATAGTTAGCAGCAGTAAAGTAGCCAAACACTGATAAGGCCAAAGGAATTGAAAGCCATATTCACAAAAATTTCTCTGATAGCACAATTTTAAACGAGCGACCTCAAAAGGCATTTCTAACATTTCAACAATTGAGATTATTTTTTGCTTAGCTGGTTGCTTTATAGAAGAACGTGGCCGTAGTTCGGGATTTTCCCCCTTTATTGAAATAGCACCCTATCTTTTGGAAACTGTTTTCAAATCACTTTTTGCTACTCAAAACATAATTTTATAATCACAGTTCTGGTTGTCTAGTTGAACTAATTGATAAATTGGTGAAAATAATTGAATATCATCATTTCGTAATTAATTTTTTACTATTAAAGGAAACAAAATAGTTTAAAATATTTATTTAAGTTATTAATTAATATCTCCCTATTCAATCTGCAGCTTTCGCAAAGGAGATCTCTGAGAAAAACCCACGGCTGAACCGGAAAGATATGCAAATATGGACTTCCACATACTGATCGTCATCGGTTGTGTGGTCAGCGCCTCGCTGCTCTCGTTCCTGTTCATCAATAAGATCTTCCGGCGCAAGACTTTCGAGGAGGTGGTTGCGGAGAAGCGTGCTCTAAGTGCCAATTTGTACAAGGCGGCTGGTGGAGCGGCTACCAAGAAGCCCAAGAAGAAGGAACTCAAGCGCGAGAAGAAGCAACGTCAGCGGGAACAGCAGCGAGATGTGAACAACGAGCCGGAACCGGAGGAACCGGAGGATTACTCCGATGGTCAGTCGGAGGGTCAGGGATCAGTGGCTGATGAGGAACCCGGTCTGTCCAAGCAGCATGTGGAGTTCGAGCCCGACGCAGAGATCCTCACCGAACAGCGTCGTCCCAGTAGCGTGGCTGAAAAGGAGAACCAACCCTCCGCTGCCGGCAAGAAGGGCAAAAAGGATAAGCGCAACGGAGCCAGCAACAAGACTGCTGGCATCCTGGTCAACAAGAACGAAACTGTGGCTGTCAAAGTTCCAGCCGCTTCCGAGGAGACACCCACTCTGAATACTTTTGAGACCAAGGTCCCCAAGGATGTGGTGGAACTGAAGAAGCAGGAGCAAAAGGAACGCAAGGAGGACAACAACAACAAGCAGCAGACCCAGAAGAAGGTCGGCGGTGGTAACGTGACCAAAAAGGAAAAGCCCGCAGCTGCTGAGACTGAGGCACCCGTAGTTACCAAGCAGATCCTCAAGCAACAGCAGCAGCAGCAGAATGGATCACCCAAAACCCAGCACAACCAGGCCAACAACAAGACCAAGCAGCAGCAGCAAAACAAAAAACAGAACCAGAAGGAGACCCTCACGGCCAAGGATTTGGCTCAGGCTTTGGACAAACTGGCCGAACACCAGAACCAGACCATTGGCGTTAACGCTCTGATGAACGTGTTCTCTCGCGCTGAGCTAAATCGCTCAGAGATTCAGATACTCATCGATTATCTGCTGAACAAGCAGCAGGATATGCCCTCGTCGCACTCCGAGTGGTCAGATGACATCTGTCAGAAGCTCAAGCGTCAGTTGGAGGAGAAGGAAAAGTTGCTGGCCGAGGAGCAAGAGGCCTCAATCGGAATTCAGGCTAAGCTGCGCGAGCTGCGGCAAGAGGTTAACACCGAACGCGCCCAGATGCACGCCCGCAACCAGGCCTACGTCGATAAATTGCAAAGCAAGGAGCAGGAGCTTACCGCCCTTAACCAGGAGCTGTCCAGCCTGAACGACAAGTTGACGTTGGAGCGACAGCAGTTACAGGTAAGAGCAACATTATATGTTTATAAAGTTTATTAAATGCTTATAATGATTCCTTTACGAAGCAATTATTCTTATTCATATAAATATTTTTGTTTGTCTCCATTTCAGAACCTTTTGAGGGAGAAGCAAGCCAACTCGCAGGATCTTTTGCAGTTGCAACGCCTGCAGCAGGATCTCGCCCACAAGGAAAAGTGCCTGGCTGATATGACCGCGTTCGTTAACGCAGAGACTCAGCAGAAGAACGAGGTGATTCAGCAGCAGGCTCAGCAGCTGCAGGCCCTGGAGCAGCAACGCGACGAGCTGGAAGCGCGCCAGAACAACAGCATCTTTGAGCTGGAGCAGCGCAAGCAGCTGGAGGCGGAGAACGCCGAACTCAAGCAGGAGTTGTGCGCCGTCGCGCAGGCGCAATCGGAGCTGCAGCGTGTCCACGCCGCCGAGTTACAGGAGCTGCGTCAGGAGTCATCCGTCCTGGAGGCCAACAACCTGGCGCTCAACCAGCATCTCACCCAAGCAGCCAGCAACGCCGTTCAAGCCACGGCCGCCCAGTGTGAGCAGGCCCAGGCCCAGACCGAAGCGCTGGCCCAGAAGCAGCAGGAGCTGAGTGCCCTGCGCTCGCAGGTGGACTCGCTGACAAGTGCCCAGGCCCAGCAGAAGAATCAGGCCACCACCCTGCAGTACCAGCTCCAGGAGGCGGAACAGCGAGCTGAGCAGCTGCAGGCCAAGGAGCAGCAGCTGCAAAAGGAGCTTCAGGAGCAGCGAGAGAAAAATGACGTGAGTAGACTTCAACAAGATATTTAACGAACTAAGTTAAATTATTTATATATCATTTAAACTAAACTTACCCTTTCTAATCTCACATTCGCGTTTGTCGCTGTATTTTACATCCGCATATGTACGTTCGTTCTTTTTTGCATCCTTTACTAATTGCCACGTATTTGTGTTTCGTCAGGACGTGCGTTCGAAAAATTGGAAGTTGATCGAAGCGTTGCAAAATGCCGAAGCATCAATAGCTAAGGCAACGGCCAAGACGAAAACAAATACAGCGCAATCCGTAGGCGTAAGTGCATGATCTCTGCCAGCACCTTTTGCTTTTTTTTATGATTTCGTCTGAAAACTCTTTTAGATCGAATCGTTTTTGTATAATCCACGCATCAATTAATCTTTGCAGCAACAACACAAAGAGCTGCAGCAGCAGCAACAGAAGGCGGTGGCCGCCAATGGAGGAGGAAGTGCCAGCTCAGCCAAGAGCGAGCAGCAGAGAATCCGGGAGCTATACCAGCGCCTGTATCCCGAGGCAGTGAAGGCGCAGTCGGGCAATGCCCTGCAAGCCTCCTTTGACCAGTGGCTGGAGCAGGTCCTGGCCACCCATGTCAAGCAGCAGCAGGATAAGCTGCGGCAGAAGCTCGAGGCGGAGAAGCCCGAGAAGCAGAGCAGCAGCAGTAGTCATAAGTCCACACAATCAAACAACAATAGCAGTAGCAACCACAATAATAGCACCCACAACAATATTAGTAGCAATAATAGTAGTTCGAATAGCCAATCCTCCTCCGACGCCGCCGAGCAGCAGGAGCTGCACAAACAGAACCTGCAGCTGCGGGAGTGCAACGACAAGCTCACCCAGCTGGTCACCAAGACGGTAAGAAGTTCGCCCTGTCTAATGTTCATCAAGTGGTCAAGTAACCATATTATTATTTGTACAGACCAACACGTTGATGGACTTGGAGGAGCGAGCTCGCGAGCAGGACGAGCACTGGCGTGGCATCGTCGAGCAGAAGGAGCAGCTGATCCTCACGCTGCAACAGCATGCCTCCAACGGAGAATAGGTAAGATGTATGATCAATACATACCAAAAATTTCCATTAACATCGATATTGTCATTGCAGGACATTTAATGTCGCATAGATAAAAGAGGAAAAGGAAGGTGGAGGCCAACAACGACGATAAACTGACAAGCAACCGCAGAGTTTGTCCAACTTCCATAACAACAGCAACAGAAAACAAAACAAACAACAACTCTAACACCCTATTAAGTTTAAAGTTAATGTAACAAGTGAAAGGCGAGGGAAATTAAGCATGCCCCACAACAACAGCAACATTCAACATTTTATAGTATCGAAAATCAACAATTATGAGAATGAGAACTACGGAACGCTTTAAGAAATTATATACACATTACTAAGGCAAGATAATGATAACAATCGAAACTTGTGCAATGTTAAACGAGAAGAGAAGAAAAGCTAACGGAGGAAAAGCCAGACTCTGAACACGTGAGCAGGCGATTTCCACCTAGACCCTCCCCAAAAAAAGATAATTAAACCCGGAAAAATCCATTGCTGCTGCTACTTTCCAACTATTATTTATCCCAAACTTCGCATGCGATTATTATTTTTTGTGTTACACTTGCATTTAAAAACGCGCTATAAACAATTGTATATGTATCTTATGTTAAGCGAATGAATTTAAAACCCAGCTACTTAAATGGCAAATCCACAAAAATAAAACAAACTAAATAGTATGAATGTATGTACACTTGTATTTTGAATGTTTTCCATAATTGTTTTCTGTTTCTACGTACTTTTAATTTCCGCCGCGAAGCAGCGCAAAGTATTCAAGCCCCAGAAAGAGCAAACGGCAGCAGCAACATTTAATTAAGCGTATATAAACAAGAAAATAACTATTTTTATATAAAAACTGAATGAGAAACTATCTTATAAGTAAACGCAAATTAAACACACGAATGCTAATAGCAATTAATTGTCGAAAACCTGTTGCATGCGACATACTGATTAATTAGGCAAACCAACAAATTCAAGCCCATCAGCAACCACAACAAAAACAAAAAAACACAAAAGAATGAGCTATAGCTGCATTGTAAGGATTTATGATGTTTAATTTACGATAAATGAGAATTAAATATATACACACACACATATGAGAAAGACATTTGACCTTTGACATTTGACTAATAAATAGTTGAGCTTTCATGCTTAATTACTGGTGGCGGCTCTGCTTGGGTATCTGCAGATTCTGTAGCGGTATGATCATATGGAATGGATACTGTAGCAGTTCATTGCACGACGGACGCTTTTTGGGATCCAGCTGAAGGCAGTTCTTGGCCATCTGAAAAGAGAGCGGAGATCTTTGTAACAACCATATTTATAGATAATTTTTACTTCTAATTATCTTTATCTATTTGTAATTCCTATCGAGTATGAAAACCTCATCGCTGACCAACTTACGTGAACCAGCATGATGGGATAGTAAGGCGGAATGGCGGGAAACTCGATGCTGGTGCTCGGAGTAGCGATTGCACTCATCTTGGCATAGATGTTTCGGATGTGGCCGAAGGGCGTCTTTTGGTAGAGCAGCAGGTAGAGGATACAGCCCAGCGACCATACGTCCGACTTGGTGGATATCTTGATCTTGGGCTGATTGGTGCCGCGCATCGGACTGTTTCCCGTAGAGGTGTCCGTCAACGCCTCCGGACTAATATAGTTAAAGGTGCCGGCCTGCGAAAATTTGATAATGCTCGTTGAGTCCAAGGCAATATTGCTGGCTATGCCAAAATCGATTAGCTTCAGCCTCCCGCTGACCATCAGGAAGTTGGCCGGCTTTAGGTCCGAGTGAATGACACCGTTCTGGTGAATGTAGTTGACCGCCTGTAACATCTGGTACAGGATGTTCATAAGGCTATAGAGCGGCAGGGCGGTGGTGTAGCTTTGCAGGATCTTGTTTAGGTCGCAATCGCCCTTCTCCATAACCATGTACAGCTTGGACTCCTCGCGAACAAGTTGACTGAAAGAGTGTCGATATTAGTAGGGGTAATCAAAGAGTTTTCGAGTTTCATTGCAGATCACCTAACAGAAAACAGTTTCAACTCACTAATCATAGAGCGCCACAACGCAAACGTTTCCCTGCAGCTTTGCCAGCAGCTTCGTTTCGTTGAGATAGCCCTGCACCACTTGGGGATCGGCCTGCAGATCCACCACTTTCAGGGCGAACTCATCCCCAGAATCCGAGCGACGTGCCAAGTAAACCGAGCTGGAACCACCGCAGCCCAGCTTTTTGGCAATAGTGTATTCATGGTTTTTGATTTTTAGTATACTAGAGGTCTTGGAGGAGCTGGAAGGCGGTTCTGGTTGGGCGGCAGCTGCGGGCGTCGGCACCAACTCCTTTGGCTCAACGATCTCCTCTTTGGCCGGCTCCGACTCCCGGAACACATTATCCAGGGATTTTTTGGACTGATGGTGACTTTTCGGAGGATCTACTTTTTTCGGAGGCTCTGGAATGTCCGGACTCTCGCTGATGGTGTCGCAGAGCGAGAAGCTTATGCTCTCGGAGGTGACAGGAGCTGCCCGACTGACGGTCATGGGCGTTTGGAAGAGCACCTTCTGCGCCCGAAAGTCATTGGACACCGCACTGCGGCCTTTGCTAGCCAAAGTGGAACCAACGGTTCGTACTTGGGGGGTGATGAAGTCCGCATCCGGCTTTGCCTTAGAGGATGTGGACATTTCATTGCGCAGTGGCGTCTCTGTGTCCTGGAGTGGGCGCCTTTCCGTCACGACTGGGATCGTGGGCGCTGGCTTTTTGGCCACCTTCTTCTCCGACTTCGCAGCAGGTGATCCTTGGCTGCTGCAGTTGATGCCCATGTTGTTGAATCGCCCCAGGAAGGAAAGATTCGAATCGGACTGCTTGAGAGGAACGGCGTTGGTTGATCGCCGGGTGTGGATGCTGCCATTACTGTTTGTTAACTCTTGGGAGGGGCTTAGAACAAAGGAATCGTTCAGAATGGCGCAGTTAAGGTTGTGGTTGCTCTTGACGTCCTCCTCCTCGCTGTCCGATTCCATCATGGTCAACTCGGAGACGCGACGAGGCCTAAAAAGTTGGAATACTGATTACAAATATTTATAAAATATAATAAAATACTTGAAAACGCAAAATTGCAGCTGCAGGTGGTTCCCTGTACAAGTGAGAGTTGAAAGAAAGGGGGTGGGGGATCCCTTATTAATAGGAATCGTTGGGGGAAAAAATCCATATCAGCATAGAGGTAAGAGTTTCTCTTAAAGATCAGGAAACCTTCGAAGTAAAACTTGTTATTATAAAATGTTTTGATGGGCGAATCGAAAAAAACAAGATAACTTAAGGCGTAGAAAAACACCGGAGGGATCCGTACTTTCTTTTTTAAGGATTATATTAAAATGGATGAACTGAAGCACTATGGGACCCTTAGTAAAATGATTCCTTGGTTAATAGGAGTACTTTATGATAGAAGCCCTTCAAGTGAAAGGAGGACCCAAAGGATACGGCGATCTTTAAATGGTACACCTGATACTGTTCGATATTAAAGCATCCCCTATGGATAACTCGGTCCTTACAGCACATTCACGGGCATGGGATAGGGCTCGTTCTCCTTGCCCCTCGCCGGGATCTGGAAAGACGCCACCGGCTGCTGTTTTGCTTCTGCCGCCGCCGCCGCAGCTTGCCGCGATCGTGGTCGGTAGGGCGTATTAAAGTCGTCCTCGGAGTCAGAATCCAGTGCCAGTGCCATCATATCCTTGGTGCGACGCGGCACGGGCGTAGTCATCTTGCAATCTCTTCGATTCTACCCGACAAGCAAACAGTTAAAAATCCAATCGAATTGCTTAAATTTAAGGTTTAAATAGAGCTGGGTTCGCCACTAACGATGATATCGATTACTTCGAGTACTTGGGTTTTGTAGAATATCGAGGCCTTAGTTTCGATAGTAACCGATAGCGCAAATAGACAAAGCTTGGTTGAGTCCCTGGTATTTTTCCGTTAATATTCGAATATTTACACACACTTATTGAATGTTCTTAACGTCCATTAACTTTTAAGTGAGTAGGCGTTATAAGATATGCTATCAACAATAGTTTATTTATGTATCGTCCAATAAGTTAAAAGTATGACAAATAAAAATGACCAAGTAAAAGTTGATTTTCAAAATCTAACGTCGTTATTTCAGGGTTGTCAAGTTGCCCCGAGGCATCCCAAAAATTAAATCGAAATCACAGCGTTGCCAGGGTGGAAAAATGTACCACTCGATAGTGCTGCCATATCTAAGGAAAATAAGTATTGTTTTCCTGCGGCGTTAATAAACAAAGCGAAAAGAATTCGAAAACTACGCATTGTAGAGCAGTGCAAATGGAACCACCAGCATCAGTAAGCGCCGCAGTCCAACCGGGCGTGTCGCCCGCCCACATCCACGACACGGACCAGCTCCTGGACCCCGTGCTCTTCTCCACCGACAATGGGAGCTTCAAGTTGAACACAGTGCCTGCATTTAGGTGACTATAGGGGTGCTGCCAAGAAGAAAGGGGCATCGTGGAGACTTCTGCCGGCGGCAGTGAATCATCCATAGCGTATCCGAACCAAACGCCTGATAATGCACGCAACTAAACCCATTCCCTGTCCTCCCACAGCCTTCATCTGGTTATCTCTACTGTAATCTCCATTGTGGGAATCGTTCTGGCGGCCTCGTTTCCCACAGATCGACGCTGTGATGCCTACTTCATCATGCTCTACCTACGTGCCACCTTCTGGGTCATCACATATGTAAGTATTCCAATCTGTTAGTCCCGACCTGCCTCAATGTCAATGCCGTTTCAGCTCTTCGACCATTTTGTGAAGATACAACACAACAATCTGCGCATGAAGGGCTATCACGATTTCCACCGCGATACGAACATGCAGAAGGGGATTCCCCTGCAGCTGGTCTCGCTGTGGAACTCCATGCTGCTGGCCGTCCAGGCGTTGATCCATCACTTTTACGCCGAGAACTTTTGGGAGCACTGCGCCGCCGGCTGGTTGTCACCGGTTAGCTATGTGACCGCCTTCACCGTGGCCGAGAATGTGGTGCTGGCCGTCTCCCACAGCTTGTATATTGGTAAGGAACGGGTTAAAATAAGAAATGATGGAAGATTTTGAATATGCTAGGGATTAACAGTGGCAGATTACCCTATTGAAATATTTGTTATTCAAATCTTGGTATTTTATGCCAATGATAAAAGTTTACGTTTAACAAAGTTGGAACTCCAACATTACCTTTTAAATATATAATGGTTCTTACTACATTTCAATAGAGATATATTTAAAAATGATGAAAGCAATTAGTAACTTATCTTGAGTAATGACATGAGTAGTCTCTAGGTTTCTGAGAAAGCGGACTGAGTCACTAATCAGACTTAGTGTTTTCAAAACCTGATTGAGCTTAGCAATAAATGAATCTTAACTAGATGAATTGGAAACAGCTGGAGTAAAAGTTAGCTCTTCTACTGAAGTCATACCGGGACCAGATACAATGTTAGATTAATATTTAGAAAATAGTTTGTTTAGAGTTATATTTCAGAAACAATTGCAAAAATAGTATTAACAAGGATTTCCCCCCATTGCTAAATACTCAATTCCAGACAAGGTGCGTAGATTCAATAGCGCCAAGCTGCCTCCTGATGTCCTGCGCGGTGCGGATCGTGCCGGCGGCTCATTGGGCCTCATGCAGCCCGGAGGCGACATCGACGACTTGCTAGAAAAGCAGGCCGACCTCATCGACTATCTACGTGATCACACGCACAAGCTTAACCAGAAGCTGCACCAAATGCAGACCAACATCCGACCAATTAGGGCTCCTCAAATTCCTTAAAGACCAATATTTCTATTTCTATGTATTATTATATATTTACTGGTGGTTCTCTTTTTATTTTATTAATTTGTTCACGACGAAGAAATATTCTTCAAGAAGATCAATTGCTAAAATGCAATTGGGCGGTAACGAAAAATTGTAATATTAAATTGTAAATACAGAGAACGCAATACTTAATCCGCGATCAAAGACTAAAGTCATTGGATTGTATTAAACAAACAAGTGTGTGTGTAAAAAATTATTAAATTATAACTGATTTATACAATTAATAATAAGCGTCTTCTCAATGTCCGTTTACCAAGGCAGCGGGAACTTTCAGGATCTCCAGCGTGTTATCCTTCGATGATGTGACGATCTGTGAATTCGCAGTAAGTTGTAGTATTTACTCATTTAAGTGTAAAACTGAATAACTTACTTTATCGCCTGCAACTGTCAGGGCTAAAACCAAACGGCCAGCGCCTTCGAATCGACCCACTTTTTTACCAGCCACCTTGTCCAGGACATAAATGAAGCCATCGTAGCATCCGACTAGCAAATAGCGCTCTTTGTATGACACTATGGCCACGGCACCATTGCCGCAGCTCAACTTTGTTACCAAGTTGCCAGTCTAAAAAGGGGAAAGAAAACTGCAGTCAGTACTGCGCCAATTGAAAGGTCAACCACTACCACTCACATCAAACTCCAACTGATAGATCTCGTTCTTCTGAGTACCACAATAGATGTGTCCATCGTTGATGAGAAGACTGTAGACATTCAAGCCCTCTGGAATACACACACGACGCAGCAGCAATCCGCTGCCAGCATCATGCATTTGGACAACATTTCCCTTGCATCCCAGAACCAGGATCTTTCGTACTCCTTCCTTGGTGGCTTTGATGGCAATAATGGATTGCTCTGTTTGAACCAAAGGATTATCCATCACCTTGTTGGTCTGAAAATAGTAAGTGTTGTTTTTATAATTATGTATAGTTTTATTTTGATTCCAAATATTAACAATTTGTTATTACGTATTTGTTGAAACTCAAACTGCCCAGTTCTAAGTGTCCATCAGTAGAACGTTTATAAAAAACAAAGACTAAAAATCAACCGCAAATCGTCTTTGGGTTTGTTATGGTGATTCAAGTTAAAAATGTATAGCATTTTACAAATTAAAAAAAAATGTTTAGTTTTTCAGGAAAAATAAAAAATCACCTTTGGAGATGCGGGGCATCGATCCCCGTACCTCTCACATGCTAAGCGAGCGCTCTACCATCTGAGCTACATCCCCGTTGTGAATTTACCTCTTTTAGTGGCCCTCACAAGGTTTGGTCACACATTTACCGACTTCGATTTTGCACCTATTGTAATTGCGTGCTCATTAAAATTCCGTAAGTGCATTGTCATGACATTCATGCGTGCTCTCCCGCAAACAACACGAAATGGTCACAAGAAAGCAATGCCCACCGAACATTTTTGGGGCTTTATAAATAGATACTGCGTTTGTGGAATCTATATTTAAAGTATTTATATACTTATAGGTTCTTATGATTAGATAAGTTCCTTATCTACAAATTCTATTTAATGGATAGAATTAAGCTGTAATTTCTGTTGATTGAAACGAAACTACACCAAAAAGTGGAAAGGATTTTATACTTTTTATAATAAACTTATGGCTTGTTACATATGTATGTTTAAACTTTCTCTTTTGCAATATCAATAGAAAAGTGCTTGTTCTGGTTTTTGTTCCTCGATCTATATTTAGTTTGCGCGGTTTTAAATGAATGTTTAGCACGTTTCGAAGGTATCCTAGGCATAAGGATTGGAATACGGTCTGCGATCATAATCTCCTGGTCGTTGTCCTTTCCACTCCTCGTGATTCTTGCAGGCAGTACAGATAACAAGCGCAAGCATTACGAGAATTGGAAGCAGCTTCATCTTTAATCCCACACTGTTCTATTAATATGATTAAATGTGATGATGAGTCTTTGGATGCATCTATTTATACGACTTGCATTCAGCGATAACAGAGCAAATCGGAATTCCCCTTAGGGGAAGTACTTCACCTGTTTGTCTTCGGTAATCGTTCCTTGGGATTCACAATAGGCGCAATTTAAATAACTTAAATCTGAAACATTTTTACAAAAAATCGAAAAAAAAATAGTTTTTCTAAAGTGTTAGTTTCAGAAGAATGTTTAACTGATTTGGGAATTCATTTTCTAAATTTGTAATTAAGAAAAATGTGGAGACTGACATAACTGAATATTATTTTTGTTTAATTGCTATTGCGATATTAGGGCAAATTTTTAACTAAGTTATTATTACAAAACTTTATTTTGTTTCTGTGAAAATAACTGTAAATTCTCGAAAGATAACAATTTTAAACAAAGAACAAAATGTGTACCCAACAAAACCCATTAAAAATGGAACAAAATGAAGAAGTGTGCAATAATATATAGCTCCTCCATGCCACCATTAAAATATACGGTTAACGGAACGGGATGGAGCATGTAGTGCACTTTTATCTACCGTTATGTCTTCAGCCATTCGCAAAGATGGCGGCCAGACACAGTGTGCAAGGAAAGAAAATACAAATAAATTCCTTTTGGAGGGGAAGGGGGTGAATTAGATACATTGCAGTGGGGGAGTTTATTTAGTGGTTGCAGCCTGCAGGAGATATTCCACATTGCCACACCCACCCAACTATGTGTGCAATTTGCCACGGCGAACAACAATAGAAAAGCTCATATAAACACGAAAAAAGAGTTAAGAGGAAGGGGCTCCCCACACATAACGGTACAAACAACCAACCCGAGTTGGCCAAATCGGCCAATGGGAGAGCGGTACGAGCGCACCAGCACACCAACACACTGGCAACAACAAGCCATAGACAGGGCGTCAGTTTCCAGAAACACAACACAACAAAACAGGAGCCAACCAGCAAGAAAAGCCCACGCCACAACAACAACAGCAACACGAAAACAGGAGCTACGAAGGACGAGAGAGAAAGAGAAAGAGAGAGAGAGCGGAAGCAACAGGCACGAAGACAATTCCAATTGCAGCTCCTTGGAAGGCTCTCTCGCCTCCTCACTTGCAGCAAAGAGAGAAAGCAGAGAGCGCCGTCCCGTTATTCGCCTGAGCACTGGAAGGAGAGAGCTTCGTCGGCTTGTATTTTATTTAAAATTGTTTTGGGTAAATAGCATATAAACATTTTATTTGCTGCTGCCAAAAAACTAACGAATGGCAGTAACTATATGCAACTAACGGTGAAGTGCAGCGCAGAAGACATGCGCAGGAATAAAAGCTGGTGAGAGTGAGAAAGAGAGTGAGTGCCGTGCCGGCAAAATATACCGTTAACTAAACAGGCACACATAAAAACTTAAATAAACAACAATAGAGAGCACTGGGGAGCTAGAAAGAGAGAGAGAGAGGGAAAAAGAGTGAGCAAGGAAGCAACATCCTTCTTCCCAATGAGTGTGTGAGCGAGACAGCATGCTAGTGCTGCAGTTTGCTGTTGTTTGTTGCAACTAACCCCCAGCCCTCGTTCTACATAAAGATGTATGTATGTATTTCCAGTCTCAGCCAAGAGGCTATATACTCCCAGGACTCGTAGTCCTCGGCCAAACAACGTGCAGCAAACACGGCACAATAAAACACAAAACACCAGGCAAGGCTAAATATCAAGCAATAGCAGCAAGGCTGGCAAAAACTGCAATACCAGCAACGCCCTCTATGTGCTTCCTGCCACATGGGGCGTGGCATCTTCGCATATTTACCAAATAACCATAGCTCTAGACTGCACCTACCAAAGACTCAAGTACAGTACCCACCTCCCACACTACAATCGGCAGTACAGTTGCCTGCATCTAGCAATACAACGGCAGGTACAGTTGCCTCCTCCCTGGCTTAGTTAAAATCGTACTGGTACTGCCCCGTCCCAATAAATAATAGGCCACTTGTCTCCGCCCCACTATTTTTTAGGTGGGTAAAGTTGCCTCCTTCTACATGTTGGTTAGTTATTCTGCCACCTACTACTACTCCTTTCGGGCTAAGCTAAATGTTGCATTCCTTACATTATTTTTAGAAAAAATGTCAGATGCCACAACCTAAATCACATATACGGTACTTACATTGTACGATAACACGCTGATTTTGGCGTAGCCGTAAATTAAATTGAATTTTCTATAATTTGCAGTTGGGTAATTTGAAAAATCTATAGTTAAGAGCTTCTTCCTATCTCCACAGAACCATACTAAATTAAGTACCTCCTCGACTCATTCTTCTCCAAAAAGTACAGTTGTGCACAAAAGAAATAAACGCAGTATAAATTGGAGCCATGAGTTATCAGCACGTCGCAGCCATAAATCGAATTTCTGCCAGAATTAAGACTTATAGCTCTACTCTCCCTTCATACTCCATATTCTAATGAAGTATCAGCTCAGGACCAAAACTCCCTTCTTCCTTCATACTATCCAATTTGTTAAATTCGCGGGAGTAAAAAAAAAGAAAAATAAATTCGATTTGATTTCCATTGTCTAGACTTTCGTTTTTGGCTTTGCTCATTGCCAATTCGTTAACTCCTGGTGTTGCTGTTGTTGGTGCCCTGGCAAGGTGTGGACTCGTCCTGCGTGTGGTGGCTGTCCTTTTGGCAGGATTCGCGAGTCGCAGCTCAATATTTTAATTGAAATTGTTCAAGTGTTTGTTTGACAGATAAATATTTAATGAGTCAAATTAAGTGGCGAAAATTTATTGAGAGACGATTGATTGACCTCCACACGATGGAAGGTCCAATGAGTTATTGCTTTGACTGAGAAATGTTTATTGGAATGGTATAAGTAAGATTGAGAAGGGAAATGTATAAAATTAGTGGGGAAATGTCACGAATGGGCAGAAGATTTCTTCTATGAAAATTCAATTAAAAAAATTTTTCTTCAGATAAAATAATAATATTAAAAAAAATTGTGATAACACTATTTAACTCACCAGCACATTGAAAGTAGATATGTGTCCCCATCGACTGCCAATAAAGGCCAATCCCCAAGCGATGTCAATCGATTGCAAGGGCTCCTTCAAGTACACCGTTTCTATGACTCGCTCCAGATTCTGTAAACGTTTTAGAGTTGAAAGATATTACAGGGTTCCGAGAAGGAAACTATGTAACCCACCTCCAGCGATGACTTCTTAAAAAAGCCATCCAGCGATGTGGTGTATAGAGTGGAGTCCTTTTCGCTGATGCACATATTAGTGATGGCCTCGCTGTGCTTGGTGATCTTTCGTTCCAGTTTGTGACTGACCAGGTGGAACATGTAGATATCCCCATCCTCGGCTGCGGCAATGACATACTCTCTGTAGATCTTTATCTGGGTGATGGGGCTTCGAACATAGTGCAATTTCCCCATGGGTACGAAGCTCAAACTGCACTCTTCTTTGGAGTTGAGTTCTGACCAGTGTTGCCCAGGTTCGTAAGGTGGTTCCTTGAGAAAAGAGCTGGGTCCTTCGTGGGACATTTGACCGATTGGATCAGGGGGCGGTGGTGGTGGTGGTAGCGGTGGTATTATAGCCAGTTGTTGATGGGTCGGACTAGCTGCAACACTGGCTTTTGGTTTGCTAAGACGCGATTGCGTAGGTTTGGTGGTGGGCGAAGAATCGAGTATTTGGTCGTAAATTGATTCCTCTAGTGGCTCTTCCTTGATATTTGATTGAATGCTCAATCCAGATTCCGTTTTCTTGGCTTGTTCCTCGCTCACTTTATTACACTCTTCCTGATCAGCTATCTCTTGCTGTAATTGCGCTATTAGCTCACCCGATTTGTGTTTTTTGACGACCCGTTTCTGTACCCTTGCTGTCCGTTTGGATACGTGCTTTACCGATACAAACCTTCTTAATCTGCTTCTAGTTCGTCTGGCAATTCCTCCTTTGTTGGAATTCTCTTCCTGCATTGATTCCTGTGTAGATTCATCTTGAGGTGGTGAGTTTCTAACCTTAGCGACTGGCACAGAAGAAGAAGCCTGACCTCTAGAAATCATCGAGTTAATAATAAGAAACTTCCGACTCTGCAACTCAAGACTGAGCATCTCGAGATCGGATTTCTCCTTCTGAAACTTCATTATCATCTCCTCGAGAATGCTGCGACGGTTTTGGTTTTCCAGCAGACGGCGATCGATATCGACCAAATTCTGAGCAACCATATCGCCCAAATGTCCCAAAGGGTCGCCTATATTTGCTCCACCACCTAGACGAGAGTAGCCGGCGGCAGAAAAATGGGATAGGCTGGGATCCATGGCCAAGAATGGCAGTCCAACGGGATACGGCTCGAGATTTTGAGATTGGTTGACCAAAGCTTTTGGGCTTTCATGGGTTGCCAGAGGTAAAGAAGGTTGGGGACTGGATAAAACTGAAGAATTCTGGTGAGCACATGAGGTGGTTGGCTGGGGACTGGATAAAACTGAAATGCTCTGGTGAGCAGATGAGGTGGTTGGACTCTCGTGACTAGCTAAAACTGGGGTTTTCTGCCGGATTGGCGGTGATGCTGATGTTGCCTTGGGGGTTTCTTCAACTGGGGCTTCTGCTTTCTTGGGGCTTAGTAAACTCGCAAGCTTCTGCTCATCGTCCTGCTCCCGACGTCGCTGTTTCTGCAAATTCACCACGTTGACTATCTCCCTAAGTAGAAATTCAATAGCCTGGCGATTGTCGGCCGACTTGAGATTCATCTGCATCTTGGCTACCTCGATTTTACTAAAGGTCTGCGAATTGTGCTCGGAACTTGTCACCACGCAGGATATGAAAAGCAGTCGGCTTTGTAGGCTTTTCGAATGCTGGCGACGATAGCGATCCGTCAGAGCCTCTCGGAGGTGGGGAAGAATCAGTTTTTCGAAGCTGTCCACCACGTTTTCTGCATCGTTTTGAAGCTTTAGCCGACGCCGCCTTTTTGTCGATTCACTACTGCACTGGGAGCTTGTAGAATGATCACTGGGGGCATCATCTGCACTCGGTGGTTCAGGTCCAAGTGATGCTTCCACAGCCAGTTTATCGCTCGGAGTCACAATTTCTTTTTCAGGCGCCTCCAAGTCCATATCCACAACACCATGTCCTTTCTCCTCTTCATCAGATGAACTAAGGAGGTCAATAACATCTTTTGAAGGTAAAGGCAGTACTGTAATTGGCGAGCTGCTCGATTCCCTTTTGATTTCCATTCTTATAGGTATATTGTTCTCAGGAGGAGAAACAACAGGAGTGATTTCCTTTTCAGAATTTGTGTCAACTTTTTTTGTTGGTGATCGACTGAGTTTGGGGTCTTCACTATTTAGTTTTGGTATTTCTGGGATATCTGCAATCCTTCCAAATGTTGGAGTTGGCAACAAGGGCGGTCGATTCTTACGTATTCCCGCTAACGTCTTGACCTCATCGGCTGCCTTCAGCCTTGCCATATGATGCCTGGACCCATTCATACAATCAAAGGGTTCACTGGTTTCTGCATGACCTTCTACTTGAGGAGTGGACTGGTTGATCTCTGCACCGAGATTTTTCTTGTTTTTCCCTTGTCCTTTCAAAGCTCTTTTGAATTTCTTTTTAGGGCTTTTCTTTTTATTGTTTTCCTGTAAAACTTTTTTACTTCCCCTAATAGATTTTACGGAGTTCTCTGGATCATCTTTACTATACCCACTACTGTTCGTAAGCTCGTCGGCTTCTTGGTTTTGATAATTATTATCTTTACTTTGAAGTGAACACTCTTGCTGTTTCCTTTGACGTTTATTACCTTTAATGCACTTTTTGCTATCTTTGATAGTCTTCTTAGTCTTTTTAACACCAGTTTTAGGCTCTTCAATTTCTTGTAAACTCTCTACGCTGTTGGAAGTTCCCCCTCCAGAGCCTTCACTATCCTTGCCAGAAATTGGATTTCCTTCTGTGATTTTACTCTTTGTTGGGTTTTCGTTATCCTTTTTAGAATCTTGATCTTTTTGACCGTCTGATATATCTATGCCAAAACACTTTTCGATCTCCTGCAGCAGACGTTCGGGCAATTTTATGGCATCTACAATTTCGTCCTCGACCAGTTCATTCACCGGATTGTCCTTGGGCTGATCCAGCTCTATGGTCTTTAGCTGTCGACGAATCTCGTCGCGTAATCGCCTTCTGGCCTGGATCTGTAAGTGCTGCTCGTAGATGGTGTCGCCATTGTTGATTATATACTTCAGACTCTCCTTGTCCATACTAGCGATACGATCATTGATTGATGCTTCATTATCTCCGGCATGACTAGTGCTTGGGCTGCCTGCAATATGATTGCAGTTACTTACTGTCCGTCGACGATTTCTGAGGGTGGGTTTAATGGTCAGGCGACTGGGACTGGCGGGGGATGCGGAAGGAGGTGGACTCAGGAGAGTTTTTTTGCCCAGACGATCCTCCTGGGTGACTGCAAAGAGCTCCTGTCTCACAAGCTGGATAAGAGGACGCACTGAGATCCGTGGAAATGATTGACCGGCCTCTGGAACGGGGGTATTCTCACTGGGCTTGGACAGGTTTAATTCCTCAATCAGCAACCGGCTGACAGTTGGTAGTTCTTCAGCGCATGGAGGTACGTCTTTCTGCTCAATAGTGGGAGTTTTTCTTGTAATCTGAAAAGGCTTAAAACGTTTTTCAGAATCCCTGTTTGGCTCGGCAGCTGAGGGTCTTTCTTTCAACCCATTGGTTTCTGCGTTTTGATTAGCTTTTGACGCAACTGTACTTTGTTCTTTTGCGGCAACTGTACTTGGCTCAATTGCGTTGTTTTTGCTACTGCTCTGATCGTTGTTATGCACTTGATCAAGTTTTGTTTCTTTAAATTGACACTGATTTTGATCAGCTTGAGCTTTAGAAGCTTCAATTCTCGATTCACAGTTATGTTCGTTATTTCTGTTAATGTCACTTGGGGGTCTAGTTAGATTGGAACCAGTTTCATCATTATTATAAGGCGATTTTGGGGGTTATCTCTGCCTAGAACTGAACTACTTTCATCCCTATGATAAGGCGATTTAGACGGATCATCATTCCATCTAGACTGATATCTGTGGTAATGGTCCCTGTGGTGATAATCTCTGTATCTCCAAGAGTATCCCTCATCGGAATATCTAGGTCTTCTTTCCTGAAAATCAGTTCTCTTGGTATAATCTCTCTCCTGTCGTTGCTGATTTGAATTATGGTTATCCGAATGCTCCCGATTTCCGTATTTTGATCGCGGGTAAGGCGAATGCCTTTGATTATTATTAGTCCACTACAACATTTTGATTGGTTAGAATAATCTAGTATTCAATGTTTTTCTTAACTTACCACTCTGTTGTTAAAGTGACCACTGAAAAAAATAGAAAAAATATGCATTGTAAGTAAACTCTTTTCTAATTAATTACAATTAGACGAATTACAAAAACATAACTACAGAAACGCCGAGAAAGGTGAAAAGTTTTGCCAACAATAAAGGAATAATTAATGTAATCAAGCAACGTGCTCGGAGTTTACTCGTAACTTTCTGGCACGTAAGAAAACCAACGGAGAAATGAAAGAAAGCTGCTGCATTAATTTAACAGATTTAAAATTTATAACCACAGTACCCCTCCCTGACCCCATCCGCATTGCTTGGCACTTCCTATCCTCCGAAAACTTGGCCCTTGCTATTTGTGTATGCAAAGGTGCAAATTCCGTTGGTCTTTTGTTTTTTCTCCCCGAAAAATCTCGTTAAGAAATGCTAAAATATACGACCACAAATCTTTGCCGTTGCCTTTTTTGTTAATGTCATTTGTAACATGAACTAATTAAAAATTTAAAAGTGAGAAAGTTTAAGTCTTGTGGATCCTTATAGAATCGAAATGAGAATTTATATGCTTCCCATGAAGAAGCTTCTGCAATTTAATAGATTGGAGACAGTTTGATTTGAATCGAATACTGAATGGCATTCCCTAATTAAATCACTTTATACAATGTATTTCCCCCCAAGATGTATTAAGATAATACAAATAAATTACATAAGAGAATAAAAATCACTTTAGGAAATGAATTAAATCCTACAATTTGCTACAAGTCAGTTGACTCAAGTAAAACCACATTGCCACAAAGCGTGGATGGCAGTGAGTTTTCTTCTAAGGACCGCCAACATTTAACTTGATATTTTTTGCTTTAATTAAAACCAAACAAAACAACACGCTTCTTGTCAACGCCAAAACAAAGAGTAAAAGTTGAAAATTACCTCAAGCTGTTGCACACGAGCAAAGGAGGCGAACCCTTCAAGTCACCCCACTAATTCTTAAGACTCCTGTCCCAAAATCCCGAATCCCCCTTTTCTTGTTTATCGGGGAAACATTGTGAAAACATGTGGGAAGCGTGGCAGCGCTTAAAAGCACATTACAAGTACAAGACAATTAGTTTGTCTCATATAATAAAACGGGGCTTGTGAGTTTTCGGGGGAATTTCCCAATCCCAAGTTTTCTTTTCAGCCAGCAAGAGTTAAACGTTTTCATATTTATGAGCCTCGTAAAACTCAATGATATACAAAATTAATGACAAAACGTAGCAAGTGGCGCATCTTCTTAGCTGGTTCTCTCTGGCGAATCGTAAAAGAAATGCTACCTCGAAAACTTTTGTCAGCATTTACCTGCCAGCGGAACGAAAGTGGAGTGGTAGTACGGCCAAAGTTATTCAAGCGTCGTGTAATTTTAATTTCAAGACAGTCTGCGACTTTTTAGTTCAAGTATTTCAGCTTGAGGAGCACTCATCTCATACCATCTCAATTTCTTTCCCTGCCATTTTCTGAACTGTCTATCTACGGGTGTCACGTACAATTTTTCTTCCTTTTTTAATTGACTTTGGACCGGCGAGAAGTTTATTAGTTGAGGGCGACTTTTTGGCTTGATTTGAGCAGTAGGTTCTCGCTTGTCTACGTGTTGTGTTCTTCCTGCTCATTAGAAAGGACTTGTCACATACGCCACCGTGACTTTCTCTTTCTTGAGAACCGTTTCCGGTTCCGATAAGGGAACGTGTTATTGTTGGTTCTACAGGGGTTGAGTTGGGACCAAACCCAAGCAAGTGGCATCCTTTTTCACTCATCACTGCATACATTTTCCCAAGTTTATTTTTTCTTTCCGCTATGCGTTATGCATATTAATATTTTTGTCAAGGGCCAACCGTAAAGCTGGAAAAATTCTGATTTATTTTCCTGTTCCCAACAGTATTGGTATAATATTTGAATTTCTTTTTCAGGAGGTGATAATAATAATATTGAAGGAAACATTATTAAAGAAATTCACAGGTAAACACATTAGGTATCTGGTTATCTAGAGTGTTGGAACCTTTTTAATATTAATCGACATTACTTATTGGTTATCAATCTATAAATATAACAAACAACCCATAGATACGCCCCCCTCTTGAACAGCACCACTGTCTTTAATTGAAGCGTGGTCATGTCTTTCAAAAGCCACACCCCAAACAAACTTAAGCTGCAAACCAGTTCAGACTTGGCCTACGAAACTGTAACCAGGTCATTTGTCGACTTGCATACCAATTGTATTAAAACTACAGGTAATTGTCCACCTTTGAGCGAGTCGAGCAGTGGATATTGAACCATTTTTCAGGAAATCACAACACGGGGATGTAGCTCAGATGGTAGAGCGCTCGCTTAGCATGTGAGAGGTACGGGGATCGATGCCCCGCATCTCCAAAATTCTTTTTTTTTTACTTGCAGAAATCAACTACAAACTCTGCGGAGCCAAACACTTAAAACAATTAAAAATCTAGAAATAAATACATAAATTTTAACAACGACAGGAAAACAGCAATGGCTTAACTAGCTTACGACAAAAAAACTTTGTCCTGGCCAAAATTGTGGAAAACAAAGGCAAGAGTGGGGTATAAAAATTAAAACAAAAGCTTTTGCTCATAAATAGCACATCATGTATCATTTACAAACACCCAAAAACCCAGCTACCTCAGACATTCGAGGAGTTTCTGAAGCTGCCCGCGGCGTCCTGGGACCGTGTTTTTCGCCCCTTTCGCAACTCCAACTCCTGTCCAGATTCAGTTTCACATCCGGATTGCGACTGTTCTGACTGCTGCGGCTGTCTGGTTAATTGCTGGCAAAGTTCTCAGCGATGCAGGGAAGTAAACAAACATTGGCATATTGTGCTGATTTATGTGCGACAATGTGTTCGCTCAGCCATTTCCAAAGAATTTTGAACGGCACTTGAAAAATTACATTTAATCGGAAACATACATCACTTCCCTTTGAAGGATTAAAATAAAGGATTTCCAATTTCAACAAGATTTACTTATAAAGCCAAGAAAACATTGTTAAAAATAATGAATATTTAAACGGGTGTTTTAATTTTGCTCCTATTGTAAAGTCTTCATTTGAATAATCAGAAATGTAATATATCTCAGTTACAGAGCAATGAAAATTTAAAATAAATTTTATAAAAAATATTGTTAAAAGGTTAGGCACTTCAATACAAATTTCTAATTGTGAAATTTAATAATTTTTTGTGCGTGTAACAATGTGATGAGGGCGCAAATCAAATTACGCGTCTTGATTGTCGACATGGGGGCGGCATTGGCATCTAAGGGATGCGGATATGAGACCCCACGGATAATGCTCGCTTGGCAGCTACAAAGCAACCTTTGAATATTCATTAGTGGCAACTTCTTCCCCGACATGTTGTGTAAGTCCCAGAATGCAAAAGACAAAACTGCCGACGTCTGCGTATTTTACTTGGCAAAAAAAGGGAAATAATCCAATTGGAGATGCGGGGTATCGATCCCCGTACCTCTCACATGCTAAGCGAGCGCTCTACCATCTGAGCTACATCCCCACATGCATTGAAAACGGCCAAGAGTGTCCAAAAAAGGTGTTCGACTAAAGTGCAAGACAAGCCAAATTAACATTTTGGCCAAGAGAAAGGCAACTTGTGGTCAACTTCGGTTCGTTTTGGTAGCTATTTATACCCGTTACTCGTAGAGTAAAAGGGTATACTAGATTCGTCGGAAAGTATGTAACAGGCAGAAGGAAGCGTTTCCGACCCCATAAAGTATATATATTCTTGATCAGGATCACTAGCCGAGTCGATCTAGCCATGTCCGTCTGTCCGTCTGTCCGGATGAACGCTGAGATCTCGGAAACTATGGGAGCTAGGCTACTGAGATTTGGCGTGCAGATTCCTGAGCTTCTTACGCAGCGCAAGTTTGTTTCAGCACAGTGCCACGCCCTCTCTAACGCCCACAAACCGCCCAAAACTGTGGCTCCTACAGTTTTGATGCTAGAATAAAAATTTTAACTGAAATGTATTGTTCTCATCAATACCTATCGATTGACCCAAAAAAAAGTTTGCCACGCCCACTTTAACGCCCACAAACCGCGAAAACCTGTGACGCCCACAATTTTCATGCTAGATAAAAAATTTTAACTGAAATGTATTGGGCTCGTCGATACCTATCGATTGGTCCACGCCCACTCTAACGCCCATAACGCTTAAATCTGTATACCGCCGGTAGGTGGCGCATTTTAATCTCGCTTTGCTGCTTGCATATCTCCATTTAGCTGAGTAACGGGTATCTGATAGTCGAGGTACTCGACTATAGCGTTCTTCCTTGTTTCGGTTTGGTTTCTGTTGGAAGTTAAATTGAATTTCTGCCAAGTCAAGGAGTGTTGTTTCAGCACAAATTCACTTAGTTCATGGTGTATTTACTAACAATAATTATATGAACTAGTATAATTCCTAATGAAGCAAATAAACATAACCATTTTTTTTTGAAAAGTGGAACACAAACAACTTAATGTTCCGGAACATTAGCTGCAACTAATATTAGTTATTATTTGTTTGTTATTTTATTATGAATATTTAACATTCATTCGCTCAAAATGGTAGACGTCTGGCGAACAGATGCAGTTATATTACTATCACTCTGGTTTAGATCTATAAAAATAATTTTCAACTTTGAAGAGATTATAAGTGATCCATACGAATGGTAATAATCTATTTTATACAAATAGTGAGATTTTTGTAAAATAAGAGAAATTAAATTGTAAATAACATAATAAAAACAAGAAAACCACTTAAATGCCATTTCTAAGATAATCAATTTCTAAGATAATCAACACATATCCAGTAGGTTTCAAGTTAAAAATCGAAGAATTTGTTCCCCTGCTCCAGAAAGTGATGTCTTGATCCCAGCTATTTATTGTTCAGTTACCCAAAACCAGAAAACAAAAACCATTTAAAAAATGCAACTTGCCTTGCCGAAAAGTTTTTGAAGCTTCCCGCATAATCAACTCACAGTCTTGGACTTTTTGCGAGGAAAAGAGACTCC